TCAAGAATGCTAACCGGCAAATCGCTCGCCTGCTCTGCTAGTGAGTGCATCGATGTCGAAGCGATCGTGGTCGACACGTCATTTCTTTCTTTCCTTTTTCTTTTTTTTTTTTTTTTTCTTTTTTCCTTTGCACAGAATCACGATAATTGAGTAACTTCGTCCTAGCGTAGATCGATATCGAAGCGTGAGCAAATGTGTTTCTACAATATTTCACACGTGACAAAAGAATCTAGATGTCAATTCGCAATTTTTGATACACTTTTCCGTACATATATACTTGTTCTTTGTTTCGTGGATTTTTGCTACATGTTCAAGACCAGTTGTATTAACCCTTTGAACTCGTACGTCTCGCTGGAGGTGACAATACAAATTTGGAGATTGTTTTAAAAATCTTGTCGCACGTCAGAAAGTCATAAAAAATAAAGTCAACAATAATAACAATTAGTTAATTAAAAACGTTGAATTTTGACGTTGTACATTGATTCACCTCTAAATAAATACAAGTAATACGGTAACATTGAAATCGAGTTTAAAGAGTCAATTTAGAATTAATTTCGTCGTTGCAAATAATATTGTTTTCGAGTTTATTACGCAAACGATGAAATAATAATTTTTCCAAGTGGTATAGAGAGTATTTGAAAGAAAAGGAAGATCAAAGAATTTTAATAGTTACTCTGGGGAAAAACACGAGAGATAAATCTAGAAATATGTATCGGATTTTAGGACATTTTCGAAGAATATTCCTTAAATAAATTAATCGAAACAATAGTAAAAGTTATATTGAAAACCAAAGGAGAATTTTTTGATAAACGTGTGGATCTAAAATTGTTTATAAATGTTTGTGTTTCCTTCTGTTTTTAATTTTTATATCCAACTAAAGTCTACAGTATTTGGATAAAACGTTCCTTAAATAGAATTATTTTCAAGAAATGGAAGTTGTTTCGTAACAGAGTTGACTACAATCTTTGACCAGCAATGTGTATTCGAATATCGTTTCGTGTCCGTGCTAGAAACGATAAAAAATTTCTATTCGTAAAAATTCGACAAATTCATGTTTCTTCCACGTCATTTGTACACGAACGATTCGAAAATCACATACAGAAGAATAGAAGCGTGCACTCGTCCAATTAACAAAATCTCTGCCGCACTAAAAATCATTCGTCCGCAACATCCGGAGACTCTTCGGTGCCGGAAGATCTATTGTCAATTGTAGAACACCCATTGTATCGTCAATTGTTTTACAGTATTGCATTCTCTATAAAACGTCGGGTGAAATTGCAGCGTGCATCTGCAAAGCGACTTCAAATAAAATGCAGAATACAGAAGAAAAAAAAAAAAAAAAAAACAAAATTGCAACATCATTTCGCTACAATTCCGAATCGCAATATGGAAATTCCAAAGAAAAAACAACCAAGATAGTAAATAAAAGTCGGCCAGCGATATTCTCGTAAAAATTAAAATCCCGTTAATATTTCTCTCTAATGGAAATACGGCACGCTAAAATAAAAAATAAAAAAAAAGAAAAAAAGAAGGAAAAAGTAGAAATCCAATTTCAATCGAAGCAATATGGGTCATCAGTTTTAAAAACGTGAGGCACAATTTTCACAAGACACGTTTCCACAGTTTTCACAAATCCAATATGTAACATCTGATTTTAGTTCGAATTTAAATACCGGAAATCCCTCCGTCTATCCGCCAAAGATTTCCAAACGTGTTTAGCGCGAAATACAGGGTGGGCCAGAAATCACACTTCCCACTGAAATAAATCCTTTTGTCATATATATTTAAAAAAATCACGTTTGAACTTAAATTTAATTTAAAACTAACAGAAACTAGTGTTTTCTTATATTCCGACGTTTTATTAAACAAAAATACGAAGAAACTTTTGGCCCACTGTTCGTTCAGTAAACAAGAATGCCGCCCGGAAACTGAACACTTGGCGCCCGTTTCCACCGCGTGGATTTCATCGCGTGGAATCACCGATGTGAGGCGACCGCTTCCGGTTCGAACGAGTCGACTGACGATCGAGAGCCGAGAGGCACTTTGCGAGAGCACGTCGCGACGTTTACACGCGAGCGCCGAGTCGCAATTTCCCTAACACGTTCTAATTATTACCCAGAGTTCTCGGAACCGGCGAATAATTTGCTGGCTGTCGGTCCGTGCGACGAGCACGGCTCCATTTGCATAACGCCGCACAAGTCGTCTCGACTTTGACTTCGACTCCGACTTCGGCAAAGGCTAAACGTTCCCTCGATTTTCATCGGCGCGTTGTCGTGGTAACTTTGATGATCGATTCTTTAATCCTGAACGTGAACGATACCTGACGACGACGACGACGATGATAAATGGTTTTTAGATCAGAGGTGGCTGACTGGCGGCGCTTGTCCCTACTTTCCTGATCGCTAGCGCTATCCCCTCCACTACTTCAATGCGCAGTGGAGGGGATAGCGATTAGGAAAGTGGGGGCCGCCAGTTAGCCAGCTCCGAGTTTAGCCCAAGAAAGATTCGAAACTCGTATAAGAAAAAAATCAATGAATGAGAAATCACAAGCGTGAGAAGCACAGAGGATAGATTTGAAAAATCGCGCGTAGTTTTGATGCTTCCGCGATTGTCCGATCGATCGGTTCTTGTCTTTGATCGCGGGATCGATTATAATTTTTGGGGATGATAATGTGAAACATCTAAATCTGGAGAAATGATCTCATTCTGGAAAATATCTTATTATACCAGCATTAATTCTCTGAAATTCAATTATCTGTTATTATTTATATCGATATCTATTCTGTGAAAGACTATTCGTCACTATAGTCGACGATAAAAAAGGAAAGAATAGATGATGAGCTCGGATGTATTGTAGATTAGTGTTAGTGTAACCTAAACCTATTAATAATCTCTTAACACTAGAAGTGTCGAGGACTAAAGTATAATATTCGTAGCAAAGAAATTAAAGTGCAAGGTACAAGATAATCTACAATAACCTATTAACACTAGAAGTGTCGAGGACTAAAGTATAATATTCGTAGCAAAGAAATTAAAGTACAAGATGATCTACAATAATCTATTAACACTAGAAGTGTCGAGGACTAAAGTATGATATTCATAGCAAAGAAATTAAAGTGCAAGGTACAAGATAATCTACAATAACCTATTAACATTAGTCCATACATTAGAAGTGTCGAGGACTAAAGTATAATATTCGTAGCAAAGAAATTAAAGTGCAAGGTACAAGATAATCTATAATAACCTATTAATACTAAAAGTGTCGAGGACTAAAGTATAATATTCGTAGCAAAGAAATTAAAGTACAAGATAATCTACAATAACCTATTAACACTAGAAGTGTCGAGGACTAAAGTATAATATTCGTAGCAAAGAAATTAAAGTGCAAGGTACAAGGAAAAATTAATAATACAAAAGAAAGACAAGCTTCTATTAAAAATCAGTCGTGCATCTAAAAATACACTGTTATAAATATATACTAAAATTTCCACTGTTATAAATATATATTGAAATATAAATTAAAAATTATAATGGCCACTTTGACCAATTTGGTAGTTAAAAATCTATTTCTTTCAATTAAATTACACGTGGAAATACTTCGACACGTATCGAAGACCAATTCCAGTCGTAAAAACCTATAATAACCAATCAAAGTCTATCTGTTTCAATTAAATTACACGTTTGGATACTTTGACACGTGTTGAAGACCAATTTCAGTCTATAACGACCTATTAAAATTCATTTGTTTCAATTAAATTACGCGTAGAATGCATTGACACGTGTTGAAGACTAATTACAACAACCCCTAATATCGTGAAAAAGTTCCTCGACCTGGCAAACTGAACGTGATCGCGCAAATCGGTTTGTTTGAATGAAATTACACGTGGTACATCTCGACACGTGTTAAAAGGGAAATTCCAATCTTGGAAACATGCAATTACCTACCAGAGTCTATTTGTCAAAAATTTCACTCACGACAGTTAGAGAAACTCCAAACACAACATTGGCCCGGGATTCTGAGAAACAATCGCGAACAGAGGTATACCTATACACGCAACAAACAACGTTCGAAGCCTCTCGCGAACGAAACCGTAGGCTAATTGCCGCGAGACGAGCAAAAGTCAGTCGAAGTAGAAGTAGAAGAAAAAGAAGAAGAAGAAGAAGAAGAAGAAGAAAAAAGGGAAAAAGCGAGCGACGCGAGGCGAAAACATCGTTCGCTCGCTCTCCCACCATTGATCAATTCTGACCGCCACCTGTGGCTTTGCGCTCGTCTTTCACGGCCACCGCGCCACCATTCCTCAGGAAACTGCGAGTAAACGTTCGAGGAAGAGAGAAGAAACGAAAAGAGGAATGAAAAATACGACGCGACGCGCGTCGCGGCGTGGCGTGGCCTAACCACGTCTCGCGAAAAATAAACGTCGAAAGTTCGCTCTAACGCCGATAACGCGGAGCGGGTGTCCAAGGTCAGCCCTGAAATTCCAATTCCAGGCCGTCGATAAATCCGGTGTGTGAAGGCTGAAATAACAGCGATTATCCAGCGAATCTAAAATCCCTTTAAGCCCTTTTCTCTCTACCGCTCCTTCGCTCCTTAATCGTTCGAGGAACGAAGGAAGAAACGGAGAGAAGAAAGTGGGAGAAGGACAGGCGAACTCGCTCGATGGCCTTGATCTACGCGCTAGATCGTCCTTGAATGAGTGAGAGCTGATTCCGGACGGGAGAGGAGCACGCGCGATCGTTTCGATGGTCGCGGGGCACCGGCGATCTTCGACAGCTGAGAAAGAACTGGCAGCCTCTGGTCCGTGTAAGAAGAAGAAAGAAAGAAAGAAAGAAAGAAAGAAGAACACCGATCGGTTGAACTGAGCCGCGTCTATTATTAACGATTGAATTAGATAACAACGCGGCGAGGAGTAACACTCGGCTGCCAACTTACTCTCAGCTCTCCGCTCGCACGCTACGTAGAGACATTCCCTACGTCTGTTCGTCGTGTTACGTCTACTTACTCCGAGAAAGTCGCTGACGAAAGAAACCGCTCGAGGATCGACGAATATCACGGCGTATATTACGTATCAAATCGGTGATCTCTCTTGCCGACCATGATAAAATAATGACGATAACAACAGAGGCTCGTTCGTCGTTCCTCCTTCGATTCTCATCGATTTCTCAACTTCACCTCTCTTCGCCGTGTGACGAAAGCCTCGTCAAACTTGATGATGAATTTGGCCAACTTTGGCTGTGGACAGGCAGGCGACAAATCACGAGTTCACGACGTTCACGAGAACTCACTGTTTGGAATTCACTGACCGACTTCGGGGGGTACTCTGGTACTCGCTCGGACGAGTAGAAACGCGAACCGAAACACACGCGAGGCGCGAGCGAAACTGACTCGAGCCGTGACTCGGTCTACGGTTTTATACGAGTGACTGGTTTTCCCCCCCGGCACGCTCTATGGCAGCCGATGCGTATACACACGCATTACGAGCCGACTCGCCGACCGCGAATCTGCGAGCCTCTTCCCGTTACTGCTAAACTACCAAACGAAAAGAAAAATCTTTTCCCCCCCCGAGACTCTGCTACCCTCTCGCGAGATTCTTTCGACGAGACACGAGTAGTTTTGGGAATTCCTCACGTACTGAGACGTACTCAATTGAAATACGATGTTGTCTCATGTTTTAAACAATTACGATGTTGTTTACAGCTAAATAAGCTTTTAAACAACATAAATTAATGAAATACGAGCAACGAATATTAATTAAATACGAGCTTTTATATTTTATGAGCAATATAAATTAATTAAATGTAATACAGAATATAAACAATATAAATTAATTAAACATGAACTTTTATATTTTAAACGATTACCATGTTTTATAGCTAAATAAGCTTTTATATTTTGAACAACATAAATTAATAAAATATGAGCAGTTTAAATTAATTAAATATAAGCTTTTGTATTTCATAAGTAATATGTATTAATTGAATATAATATCGAATATAAACAATATAAATTAATTAAACATGAGCGTTTATATCTTATAAGCAATACAAATTAATTAAATATAATATAAAATATAAACAACATGAATTAATAAAATATGAGCAATTTAAATTAATTAAATATAAGCTTTTTATATTTCATAAGCAACATGTATTGATTAAATATAATATAAACAATATAAATTAATTAAATATGAGCTTTTACATTTTAAACAATTACCATGTTTTATAGCTAAATAAGCTTTTATATTTTGAACAACATAAATTAATAAAATATGAGCAATTTAAATTAATTAAATATAAGCTTTTTATATTTCATAAGTAATATGTATTAATTGAATATAATATCGAATATAAACAATATAAATTAATTAACCATGAGCGTTTATATCTTATAAGCAATACAAATTAATTAAATATAATATAAAATATAAACAACATAAATTAATAAAATATGAGCAATTTAAATTAATTAAATATAAGCTTTTTATATTTCATAAGCAACATGTATTGATTAAATATAATATAAACAATATAAATTAATTAAATATGAGCTTTTACATTTTAAACAATTACCATGTTTTATAGCTAAATAAGCTTTTATATTTTGAACAACATAAATTAATAAAATATGAGCAATATAAATTAATTAAATATAAGCTTTTATATCTTATAAGCAATTCAAATTAATTAAATATAATATTGAATATAAACAACATAAATTAATAAAATATGAGCAATATAAATTAATTAAATATAATACATAATATAAACAATATAATTTAATTAAATATGAACTTGTATATTTTAAACAACATATATTAGTAAAATATGAGCAATTTAAATTAATTAAATATAAGCTTTTATATTTTAAACAATTACGATGTTTTATAAATAGCTAAATAAGTTTTTATATTTTAAACAACATAAATTAATGAAATATGAGCAATATAAATTAATTAAATTAAATTTAATTAAATATAAGCTTTTATATTTTATAAGCAATATAAATTAATTAAATATAATACAGAATATAAACAATGTAAATTAATTGAATAAAATTTGTAGCTAAAAGTTTCGAAAAGTTTGCGTTTGATCGCAAGTTTCTTTGATCTAACCCTCCTCGCGACCCTCACGAATTCTCTGGGAGGAAATCTTGCTATTCCCTCATAAATTGCATATTCATTCATCGAGTATCTGTGTATCGTATCGTTATTGAACGGTGGTTCAATGAAAACACAAAGCGCAATGGAAAATACGATTTCAATTTCATCTGCGACTCTGCGATTCAAGGACCAACAACGAAACGCTCTTCGTTCAAAGTCTGTTGATTATCGTATCGATTGACCATTGTATCCTTTCTTCGACGTGACGATAAATAACTGGCAAAAAAATGTTGTTCGCACGATCGATTGAAATCCGTGATTCTGCTCAATTTCTACTTTCAAGAACAGACGAGAACGGTGCTCGAGGGATTTTTTTTTTTTTTTTTTAAAGCAACATGTTTCGCCCGGTATACGCGTCAAGACGCTGAAGCTCGTGAGAAGCTACTTCTCGTGCCAGAAATATTTGATTGTCCAACTGACCTAATCAGATGTCAGAAAATTTAGTGAAAGTTCAACGAGCCTCGGATCGTTGTACCGTGATTATCTATAACGTCACGGCACCTGGTTAAACATCAGTTTTATTTTTTTTTTTTTTTTTCAAAGTACACTAGAAACCGTCCCTTAGAGAGAAAAAAACGAAGCCCGTAGCTTTTGTACGCGCGAGCTTTCCTCCCGACGAGCGAGGAAAAGCTGCGGTTAAAAGCTAGTAAAAAGTGCAGACAGTCGGATATTCGACAATGAGCGACGACGGTTTATAACGAGCGTGGCCACTGTTTGTCAGCGTGAATTCCACAGACGATTTTCAAGAGGAAGCGGAATTCACACCACTTGGCCCTCTTTCTCCAACGTTGCTCTCACCCTTTCCTCCTCTTCTCTCTCTCTCTCTCTCTCTCTTTCTCTTTCTCTCTCACCCTCTGTCTGTCTGTCTCCTGCGTCTTCGCATTCCGCTTTCTAGAAATCATCGCGGAGGCAAGAAGTGGGAGAATCCATATCCTCGACCCCGACATAGACAGATCCTGCTGCTGCCAGATCCTCGCGGAGGATCTCGAGGCCCTCCCGCCCCTTAAACTCTCGAGTTGCAAGATAACGCGCGTCAGAGCCTCTCCAAAGGCGCCGAGTTTACTCACGGAAAATTGCCTCACCGTGAGACAGATAGAGAGAGAGAGACAGAGAGAGAAAGCTATAGCATGTGCACTTTATATATATATATATATCTGTGTACACGTTCGAAAAGCAAGTAGCAACTGTGAAACATGCGTATGTATCATGCTCGTCGAACACAGCGAGAGGAGCACGTTTTGCATTCGCGCAACGCCATCTTCGCACGTCGCGTTAAAAATCAAAACCGTGGCGCCGATAAACGAAACTCGGTGTAGCTGCTCGATGATCGAGTATATATATATATGTGTGTGTGTGTGTGTGTGTGTGTGTGTGTGAATATGTATTTCGCGATCACGCGAACGCGCGTATGCAAACTGGATGCCTGCGAGCGGGCAGAGTAACGGTGGGATACTCCATTTATCTGGACTCGTCGGGGGAGAGGGAGGGCAAACAGCTGGATGTAATTGGAGTTTCGTACGGGGTGTGCACGAAATTTCCGCCAAAGGATGATGATTCTACGTGCGAAAATAAAGATTCGATCGATTAATTGTGTTCATGTTAGATAATTGTCGTGTTACATTAACATATATATATTATTTAGTACAACGTGTAATTACAATTATCTCTGCAATTAATTATTCGAATATCACTGTGTATTATAATTATTATATTTCATAGTATATAATTGTTATTTAACACATATAAACACAACTAATGCAATTACAATTATTACTAATTAATCAGATATTACTCTCTATTATAATTATTGTACTGCATATATATACATATATATATATATATTATTTAGTACAACGTGTAATTACAATTATCTCTGCAATTAATTATTCGAATATCACTGTGTATTATAATTATTATATTTCATAGTATATAATTGTTATTTAACACATATAAACACAACTAATGCAATTACAATTATTACTAATTAGTCGGATATTACTCTCTATTA